GGCCTGATGAGAGAAGATGAAGAGGTCCGGACGGGTAGAGCCTCTGCCACGTGCTTTTGGCAAAGAAGCCCCACAAGACACCCCTCCCTCTGCTCTCACCAAACCTCCAACAGCTCCTAAAGCCCACCGGACACACTCTGTGTCAGATATATATACCCTACATCTCCTCAAGGTCCGAGAAAAACAGTAGAGAAGACAATCATTGAGTACAATTCTATTGGAACATCTTATCTGAAAATTAAAAAACAAACATACAAACTCCATACATGCAGAAAAAGTTAAAAGCTGAGCAGATATGATTTCCCATTATATTAACCTATAACCCTCATCTCATTTTCCAAAAAGACATGCTGAATCCAGAATTTAAATAAAGGATATTGGGTTTAAATTAAAAGAGGATCGTGTGGGAAAGGGTCATAAGATACATTTATGAGCACATATTAGAATGTTCTGGGATAATGCATTTTATGCAATTAAAGGTAACCTAAGGAGAGAAAAACAGAAAAGGGGAGAAGAGTGAGATCCTGGAGAGAAAGGGAGGCTAGGAGTCCCTGGGCCTCAAAGTCTGGAGAAAAGTGACGACCTGTGACTCTCCAGGCCTGATTCAGACTGCAGACCTGGATACCTGTGGCCTCCAGGATCTCTGGTAGAACAAATCTGCAAGCTTACAATATGTGAATTCATTCCAAGAAGCTCTGGACTGAGACTGTCCTCCACACCACCAGGGAGAGGGCAGGATTATTATAACAAGTGTGTCCAATGGAAATTTTCAGAATACTCACCCCCACATTTTCCCATACTTTTGAAAACATTCTTCATCAAACTCACAAACACCCTACAAGGAAAAACAATATTACATTATTAATATACTGTATTGAATCCTGCCTCTAATTCACAAAACTATTTTTCACTGGCAGTTGGAGGGAAGTTCTTATGCACAAATGTCTTAAGGGAAAGGAGAGAAAATAGAGGAGATATTTGAAACTGACAATTTAAAATCACTCTTGAATTTTCTTTGAATATTATAGATATTAAACACTTACCTCTGTCAATGAATACTAATTACTCCTAGTCTTCTGAAGGCTTTTTGCTTGTGCATGTGTTGTCTAAAATCTCTTAATCTCTAATCCACCGTGGACATGTGAAAAAACTGAAGCTGAGGGAAGTAACAGATTCCCACACACACTTTCATCTCCTAGTTTAGCAGCCTTTTCATTTATCTCATGAGCTCTTTCTAGAATTCTAGTGGAATAAGCAAGTTAAAGCACTAGTGACATCTTTGAATCTCGCAGATTTAAAAAAGTCTAAGGGGTGTGTGTTCAATGAGAAAGCGAGTGAGTGATTGAATTAATGACAAAGTGGACATGCCTTCTAGTTTTCCAGCTCAATACAGAAAAAATGGAGAGATGCCACAACTATACAAGGAATAGTGCATTTTAAACACTTGGCTTGATAGTCATAACCAATTTAAAAAGTTACAGCTCCCTTGCTAAGACTAGTGAGGGGGAGACTCTCCGTCCCCCTTCTGATGTCTATGTCAGAAGCTTCCTCTGTCCCTTTTTATACTTTAGTAAATCTCTGCTACACAAAAGCTCTTGAGTGATCAAGCCTGCTCCCTGGTCCCAAAGCTAAGTCTTCAGAGATCACAAATCTGCATTGTTTACATTATCTTGGGGCTTGTCCAGGATCTTCAGGACAGGGTAAGAACACTCAAGAGCTTTAGCATCTCTGCTCTCTCAGTATACATGTTTTCTGCTTTACTTTACTAACTGTACGATGTGCTTGTGTGAATGAATGACATGCCCTACACAAAGCAAGTGAAGAGCCCTGCTCTGCAATTTCACAGTGCCTCATAATGACTGAAGGCAGACCCAGAAAGGGGAGCCTTGTCGGGGGTTTATACCAACCTGTCAATGCCAAGAGATACCCAATGTCCCTGTGAGGGGAGTGGCCAGAAGAGGGCAAAGCGTGTGGACTGAACTTTCCTTTCCCAGTCACCTTTCCCTGGTCCCTTTGACCATTTCGTAATTGCCTGGAGGATTAGAACTACTAACCTAATCTGCTGGATCACAGACTTTCAATGGACTTGTGATTCATGCCGTTACTATTCATGCCGCACATTTGGGAGCAAGACAGAACTCTAACTCCAGGAATGTCTCTCAGGCTAGAGGTCACTCTCTTGGCTGCCTGCCTCAGGGACCAGCAATCTGAAAGTGAGTCTTTGTCACGGCTGTGCCTCTGATCTATGTGGAGAGAAGCACTGCTGCTGACTATGAGGTTTTTGAGGACACAGATTGGCAACTGCAGGATGTGGTCAGATTGGAAATGCAAAGGGCTTCTTCCTTTGGTAGTGCTAGCTCTTAGTGGACCATAAGAGGCTTTTGGGTGGCTTGTCTCAACTCCTTAGATATTATTTCTGTGGAATCTGTGGAAATGAACTGGAAGGATTGGTTCTAGTAGCTCGAGGACAAAAATCACTTTTTCCTCGCTGGCCAACCCTTTTGCTATCACATATACTGGCGTGGTGACACTCAGAAGGGACATCTTGGTTGTTGTTTATCCCTTTATGACTCACCATTTCTACTGCAGTCAGGACTGTACTCGGGAATGTGCATAGGCACAGGGAAGACGGATGCTTCCCCTAGTAGTCCTAGCTTGGGAAACTACTCTGACAAATTAAACAAAGGCTGTGGTGGTATGGGACTAGAAATCAATTTGGGATGCCATCAAATCTACCCCTGGTGCATCTCCACCCCATCTCGGTGGTAGAACCAGGAGGGATGAGTCAGGGGCCTGAATCGGTAAGGGACAGACCAAGTCCAACCATGGAAGGAAAACTTCAGTGGAAAGTCTGTCTACACCCCCATCTAGAGCAGGAAGGGACACCGTCAGTGAAAAGAAGCCAAGGCTGTGGATGCCGCTTTTTTCTCTCTTACAGATGGGAGCCAACAGTTCCAGAACCACTCTTTTAAAATGTATTTAAAAACAAACAAACAAACAAAAAAACCAACTGGGACAAGTTTGATCCCCAGAGTTTAAAAAGACATGCCTGATCTTCTTCTGTGATACTGAATGGCCATGGTAACCTTTGGAAGACAGGGAACACTGGCCTGTTGAAGAGTCTCTTAATTACAATATTGTTTACAATTAGATCAGTTCTGTAGAAAACAAAGAAATGGATGGAAGTGCCATATATGTTGCTCTTTTTCTCTCTGTGAGACATGCCAGACTTGTGTCCTAAGGGTACAGATTTGGGTGCGAAACCTTCAGCTCCCTCCTGTTCTCTTACTTTGCCCCTGTATCTGGGCCTGCCAACTGAACAGGCTGAGAATCAGGGCACCCTTCCAAGAAGGCTTGACTCAGTCTTGGTAGACTATTTAGAGGATATGTCTTGGGACAGATGCTGACTCCTGACTTGAGAGCTCGAGTTTTGGGGGAAGCCATTACTTTTGGAGATTAATGGCTTGGAAGCAAGTGGAAAGAGGGATCACAAAATAGCCCTCCTCCTACTGGGAGCCAAGCAGTTCCCATAACAGAGCCACTTTGCCGGATGTATTCTTGAAGAACTCAAGAGAGCATATGCTAAGACTTTAAACTATTCTAAGTTGACTGACATAGAACAGGGAGAGAAGGAAACTCCTGGTAAACTCCTAATAAAGATTACAGGAGGCTCTCCGCATGTTTACTGACATTGATCCTGAAATTACAGAGGGAGAAATGATCTTAAAAGATAGATTTCTCACTCAGTTGGCTCCAGATATCTGCCATAAGTTATGAAAACTGGCATTTGGACCAAATCAGTCTTTATAAAAACTGTTACAGCTGGCTCAGACAGTATATTATGATAGAGAATATGAGAAGGAAAATAAGAGGGAAAAAAGAAACAGGCAAAAGACTGCAGCCCCAACAATGGCTGTTAGACCTGCTCTGAAACAGCCTGAGAAAAATGCCTAGAGGGACCCAGGTGAAAAGGGATGGGCTTGTTATTACTGTGGAGAGGAGGGACATCTCAAGTGGGATTGCCCTCAGGCATCTGTGCTGCCCCAGGCTCCATGTCCAGTCTGCAAAGGACCACACTGGAGAAGAGACTGCCCTCTGAGGTGTAGGCCCCAGGGGTCAGACTCTCTGGACAATCAGGACCAAAGGTGCCCAGGGGTTACCACACAAGCTCCCATCCTAATTACACCTGAGGAACCCCGGGTATTAATAACTGTGGTGGGCCAACCAGTCGATTTTATTTTGGACCCTAGGGCAGCTTTCTCTTTGCTCACTGAAGCCCCTGGTCCGCTTCTGTCAGAACAAGCCAAATGCTATTATTTCAGTCATCCTTTAAGCTGCAACTGGGACTCTGAGCTGTTTTTCTCACGAGTTTCTAATCATGCCAGAGTTTCCCTCACCCCTTCTGGGGAGGGATATACTGAACAAAGTCCAGGCCTCTGTTTTCATGAATATGGAACCCGCTCTTTTAACTGAAAAAAAAAAATCCATTAAAACCCGAGGTTAAGAAAGGGTTAAAGCCTATCATTGAAAATTTAAAGGAACAAGAGCTATTAATTCTCTACAATAGTCCACACAACACTTCTATTTTGGGTGTGAAAAGGGTCAAATGATAAGTGGAAACCTGCTCTAGATATATGAATAATAACTGCCTAATTCTTATACTTTATTGCCTGAAATTCCTAAACAAGTCGTGTAATTTTCAGTGATTGATTTGAAGGATGATGCTTTCTAACATTAGACCTATACTAAATCATCCTCTACCTATGATTTTAAGACAATCGAGAGGATTCTTAGGCATTACAGGCTATTGCCACATTTGGATTCCTGGTTGTGGGGGACTTGCCTGGCTTTTAATGAGGGCTCAAACTACCCCCCCCAAAAGGGACTCTCCCTATGACAAGCTGTTTTTGCACACAGATACTGTCATAGATCCTAAAGCCTTAGAATTAACTAACTATGTGACTCAGCTTTCAGCTTTTCAACAGACATTACGAGAACTCTGGGAGGTGACCCCAGACTCAGACTCCACAATCGGTCTAATTGCTGGGTCTGCAGAGCACTCCCCCTCCTTGTCAATTGAAGGCTTCTCATGGTGGGTTTCTCTGCTTCAAGGAAAGGACTTTCTTCAACTCCGCATATACCTTCATGAACAACAATTGTATGTGATGCCTCTTCTTGATCTGATGACATCTAACAATCCTAAGATGGACTGGTGTAACTATGGACATAATGTAACTTTTAGTTTTGATTATGTTTTAACTTGGTTTAATGACCATTTTGCCTTACATCTATAACTATGTAACTGGATTTGTTTCTAACCGGCTGAAACCTCTTAAGTTACAAATGGTTGTTCAAGCTCCTAAGAATGCCACAGGCTCCTCAAACTATTACTTGGGGCCCCTGGATCCTACACCCTCAACATGAGGGTTAGGAGAATATGTTGCCACAACAATTTAGGGACTATGCCCCTCAACAGCAGGAAGTAGTTATGGGATGAAAATGATGCCCCTTTCCCTTGGCAACATAATTCTCCTAAAAGAAAAGGGGGGAATGAGAGAGTCAATTCCTAGGCAGATAAAAATTACGGATTCCCCAAGGAGGAGAAAGGGGTCTGGGGCTCTCAAGGGGAAAAGGACAAATATTTTTTCCTATACTGATTTGTCTTAGTCAATATAACAATGTATCTTGCTCGAGGACGTTTCTCCTTAGCAAGAACCTTCTGACTAATCTTGTTATCTTGAAACTTGTAAATTGTGGGAGTGGATCTGGTAAGACCTTTACAAACTTGAGACATTCTTTTGATTTATTGTAATAACCAATTAAAAATGTGTATAGCTCCCTTGCTAAGACTAGTGAGGGGGACACTCTCTATCCCCCTTCTGATGTCTGTCTCAGAAACTTTCTCTGTCCTTTTTATACTTTAATAAAACTCTGCTACACACACATACACACATGAAAAAAAAAAACCTGGCCTGAGCTTTTACTTCTATAATTAAAAAAAAAAAAAAGCCTGTCCCTAAGTTTCTATCATGATATTTAATGCTTTAACAAGTAAATGAAGGTCTCAGAAATGTGGGTTGGGGTGCATCTACTAAGCAGTTCATCTGGGAAAGGTGGAGAGGAAATTACTACTTCTTCAGATGGGAAAAAGTTCAGGAAGTTCTGAGGCAGTAATGAGACAGTGAAGACCTCAGTTGGGAGAATCAGGATCTGAGAAGCAAGCCTCATGTCTGCAGGACAGGAAATCTGAGCCAGAGGGCAGCCTGCACATAGGGCTCTGCCCCTGCACATCGGAACGCAGCTCACGACCTTCAGTTCAGGGGCAGGGCCCTGGGGGAGGCATCAGAGCTGAATGAACATCAGAATTCACAGTCCGTCTGCCACCTGGTACATTCCTTTCAGTTAAATTAAACTTCTAATAATTTTGTCAAATCATACCCTTTCTAGTGATTTTTGTATATGTGATTCTGCCTTATTTTTAGAAACTCTACAACTTATTTAGCAGTTAAGTATCTGAAGCAAATAGACAACCACCATCCTGTCTCAGTTACACTCATTCCCTACTCAAACTCATCCATGAGGTGCCTGCTTTGAAGGCACAGAAGAAAAGCAGAAAGCTTTTGTTCAGTTTTCCATATCCCAAAAGATGTCATGTGTAGCAAGAAGTAGAGCAGAAAATGGAAAAAAAAAGAGAAAAAATGCAGGCATTAGCAGTTCTTGAGAGAATCCAAATATGTGCAGATTACCTGATACATTAGAACCGAATCATCCAAGCAATTCAGGAGAAAGGAGAAAAAAGGGTACCCAGAGCTTATGCAACCAACAGGATACACCTGACTGTACACTATGCTGCTTGAGACCCACGACCAGGCATCCCTTCATGCTTTTTCCTGACAATTAGTAGGGCTGTGCCTTGCTGGGAATTGCACCTGGCAGATAGAAGATTCTCTTAATAAAGCTTACAAGATGGAACTTCAAGTCCTGTGCTGACTCAGTCAGAGAGTTCAGCTGTCTGAGGAGGCAAACCTGAGGCTCCTGACAGCTGACAATAGAGGCCTTGGGTAAAGAGGGCATGTGTGGATGGGGTCTACGATGCCATTTCTGGGAAGTAAGAAAACTCTCATCTGCCTCCTGAGGAGGAGAATTTTTACTATGCAATCAGCTGGGATTTGCAACCATAAGAAGCGAAAAAGGGACATCAAACAACACACACCTTTCGGTAGGACAGAACGTTTCCAAAATAAGGCAGAGGTCTTGGCCCAGGGACCCCCAGCTTCTTAAATAGTCCATGTGAATAAGTTCCATATCTATAAATTGAAAAGAGAAAATCCAGATCAAGGATTGTGGAATAAGTGTGGAGTTGGCCAGTCACAGACTTGGAACTGGAACTGTCAGCCTAGAGAAGTAACATGTAGGTGATAAATAATAACAGCAATTCCAAAAGCAATAATTACTTTCATTCATCATCTTACTTCCCTCTTCCACAGTGAGACAATATCACTTTCACCATCAAGTGAAATCTTGAAGGTCCCAATCCTAGAGTGGATGCTTGATAAATGTTTAAATTTGAGAGCTCCTGAGAGGTTTAGGCTGTAATTCCTCCAAAAAATTCATTCATATGTATTCAGCAAGTTAACTCTTCCATGATTTAGAGATTCTCATTCTAGATACAAAGGGGAAACTTTTTTTCTGTATCAAACATGAGATTTTGGTTATCTGCATCTGCCCAATGACAAGAGTTACTAGAGTCTACCTTGGCATTGTTCTTATCCTTTTCCTTTCTTCTATATTGTTCTGTTGTTTAGTCACTCAGTCATGTCAGATTCTTTGTGACCCTATGGACTGCAACATGCCAGGCTTCCCTGTCCTTCCCTATCTCCTGGAGTTTGCTCAAACTCATGTTCATTGAGTCAGTGATACTACCCAACCATCTCATCCTCTGTCTCCCTCTTCTCCTCCTGCCCTCAATCATTCCCAACATCAGGGTCTTTTCCAATGAGTAAGCTCTTCCCATCAAGTGGCCAATGCATCAGAGCTCCCTCCCTGCTGCTGCTGCTGGTAACTCGCTTTAGTCGTGTCTGACTCTGTGCGACCCCATAGACAGCAGCCCACCAGACTCCCCCGTCCCTGCGAATCTCCAAGCAAGAACACTGGAGTGGGTTCTCTCTCCATGATCTGACCTCATTTTAAGATCTGATTCTTCTTAACTCTGTCTTCACAAGCAGGCCTTAAAATAAGCACAGTGTTCTTGTCTGTATAATGAAAACTGTGTTCAAGGCTTCCATTGCCATCATAGAAATTGAGTACCTGTCAGCTACACCCATGACTCTGTCACCAGGCAATTTGGTTGACTTGAACTATAAAAAAGGGTGATTGACCCTTTTGTTCTCTGAAACTGTATAAATGAATCAATGACTAAAGGATCCATCTCCAGACCATTCCCCAATTTATGGCATTTGGTCCTCCAATCACCTGCTAAGCCCAGGACCTGAAATACATTTGTTTTTCTAAAGATGCTCAGTCACAAAGCAGCTAGATTACTGCTTCTGCACTTCAACTATCTTAAAAACCAATCGAGGCTGGTGCTCCCTATGGCAGGCCTCCCTGCAGGTTATCCTTCATGTATTACGTGTGCAAGCCCACAACTCCAGGATATGGATCATTGCAAGCCTGCTCACTCTGGTGTTCCTGAGAGATGACAGAGTTCAGGAAAAGAGAGGCTGAAGGAAGAGGCTGCCATCAATGGTTTAAACGTGAACTCGCTAGGCCTCCACGGCTAACTCTGACGAGGCAAATCAATAAGGTACAGCTGAGAGGCATGCTATGTATAAATGGTTCAAAATGCTCTACAGGCACATTCAGCTAAGAGATATGGAGGCTCCTAGTCTTCAGTTACCTTCCTGTGTAGAGCAAAAGACTGTGTGTGACCAAAACCGAGTGACCATAAAAAACTCCAGAATATTGGACTAAGCTCCTGTCTCTCCTTCTTTGAAAGATAGGCTTTAAGGTAGCACAGGTTCAAATCTCTGTATAAATCTAGCAATCTTACAGTATGTGATAAGAGAAACCCAAAAAGTTTCAGGAAAGTACCTATGTTGGAAGTGCACACAAAGGTACCTTGGCCAAGCCCAGTTGGCTATCTCTCTCTTTCCTCCAGAACAAGTGGTGGAGGTGTGGGTACCAATCACCACAAAAAGGATGGCCTGGGCTATTCAAACCCCAGTTGCTTCCTCTATCTTCACAAACAGGGCAAGTCAATTTCTGTTTCTGAACATTCAGTGTGCTACATGAGCTCAACAGTGATGCCAAGCAATTGAGTAAACATGTTGGCAATACAGGTCCCACAGAAAGATCTGGTCTAGTGTCTAAATTCACTTGGTTCCACAAAGGCAGCAGATGGACTGAGTGAATTATTTGGCTTCTTTCTAGCCTTTCACTTTTTGGTGCAGTAATGCTATTTTGGGTAAAAAGGAAGGGGCTAAAGATAAAGCCAATCATTTTTATAGTCTTTACATTGTGTCAGCATAATGAGAGCATTGCCTGCAGCGGCTGATTCCTGGCTGCACCAGTACCTTCTCAGGCTACAGGGATATTTGCCTGGTGGGAACACTGGCTAGTACCAGCCCCACTGTCAGACGGACCACACGCAGTGTGACTGAGATTGTTTCTTGTCCCCAGGCTTCCAGCAAATGAGATGCCAACCCTGTTGACCTCCTGTGGGGCCAGGTCTGAGGAGTAACTCTGGGGGGTCTGCTCTGAGGAGAGAGGAATGTTCTCCCTTCCATCCCGATCTCTTTCTGGATGCCTCTCATATCATCACTGGCTCCCAGGCATGTACACTCATCTGCCCTGAAGATTAAAATAGCCTCCCTCCTAGACATGTATATTTAAAAAGATATATCACAGGAATATTTTACTACACTAGATTCATATTCCAGGCATTATTCTTGAGGGTGAATTTATTTACATACTTTTCTAGGTACTGGACAACAGTCCTCTTTTATCCTTCAGGGAAAAAACACATTCTGGAAATCTCATATCAATTTTTAAAATCTAGTCCTAAATAGAATGAAATTAAACTGTACCAATTAATTTTATAATATCAGACAGAAAATATGTTGCTGCAATACCTTAAATTCCTAATACTTCTTTCAAGTAATTAAAATGAGGTTAATATTACCCACATACATGTCATCATGATTTCCTACACTTAATAAAAATGAAATTGACACAGAACCTAAATGTGATTTGTAGGGGTATCTCTCTAATCACTCATTGGAAGTAACTCCTCTCCCAACCTAATCCATGATAACAGAATCTCAACATTGAATGGAATTTTTCTGCTAGATGGTTTTGATTCAACCTTCTGTGCCACACTCATACAGGGAAAGTAAAATCCAAATTGGACTCTGGGGCTTGTGCCTCTTGTAGGCTTAGTAGATTTTGTATCACAGGGGAAAGAAAATATGTACATTGATTCTAACCCTTCCAGAGATTGAAAGAAAAGGTGAAAGAAATGAATATAATTTCAAGATTTTTACCAAGTCTCCTCAGATCTTAGGATTTCTCATTTGGAAACTAGACAATTCCTGCAGAGTACAGGGTGCGGGAACTGAGTCTTAGGAAGGGGTGCCCTGAGGAGGGGCACAGAGAGGGGGGGCGGCTGAGTATGAAAACGGAGTTGCTCGGTCTCGGGCCGCCCAGCGAGGCCGGGTGCAGCGGTGCCTTGTGTAGATGGCACCTGGAAGGAGGGTCCGAGCAGGGGCTTCTGAGTGACAGGGGCCAATCCTTCCCCGTGGCTCTCGCAGCAGGTACAGAAGCCAGAAGTCAGAGAGAATGAAACAAAGACCCACGTTGCTTCTTGCCCCCAGGATTCCCAGCCTGGAATTCCCCAGTGGGAATCAGTGAGGACTATGCTGCACGTGGGTCAGTTATTTTTAATTTGCCTTTGATGAACTCTAGTTGACTAGTCTAGGTCCATGCAGACTGGTCGTCAATCAGAGGGTCATCCACAGGAGCAAATAATGTCACAAACCCTCCTAACTATGCTAACACAACTCAGGAGTAAAGTTAACTCCTTAAACAGATGTGGGTAAGATCAATAATAACCCATTTGGTGCCCATAGCACCTGATGTTTGAGCAACTTCCCCTCTATTTCCTTTGAACTTTAAAAAACTAAGGGAACCCCCTTTTCTGCTTAGCACCCCAAGACCCAGGTTACAGGGGAGATGAGCCTAACAGTTACTCACAGATAGAGGAGCACCAGGCTGGTAGCCAGGAGAACCCAGGTTTCCACAGAAAAGCTTGGGATCAGCTCCATGGCAACTTTCTTGGCAATTCCCTCCTCTGAGTTTCCTCTCAGCTGTGTGTGCTGCTCTCTGCCTGCCGCTGAGTGTGGACCTTCTGTTCACATTAGGCGGAGGTTCAGTCCAGTTGGGAGATTTATGTGCCGAGAAAGGAGGTGGAGCTGGAGCTGCAACCAATAGAAGGGCCACCTGGGCTCCACCTGCAGGAGCCCCCTCTACCTTAGTAGTTGGCCGAGCATCATACACATTACAATTTGACCTCCCTTGAGTTCATATTCTGTAGGAAATCAATGAACAACTCAGTCAATGTTAGAAGTAAGCACAAAGGTTACAGAAACTCAAATAAACGGTTGCCTGCAGTCCAAAATGTTTGAAATCCTTCAAACAAGATGGTGGTGGTGGGTTAGTTGCTAAGTCGTGTCCCACTCTTTGTGACCCCATGGACAGCAGCCCGACAGGCTCCTCTGTCCATGGGATTTCCCAGGCAAGAATAGTGGAGTAGGTGCCATCTCTTTCGAGGGGGTCAAACAAGACGGCTGTACTGATTGCTATTGTTACTGATTTTTTTTTTCTGCCTAGGAATGCCCCTGTGTCCCATGTAGGCTCTTAATTATGCTTCAAAATGAAGTTCTGACAGAACATCTGTGTTAGAGATTTCCCAAACAAACCTCCTTCAGCAGATATAACAATTTCCTCCCCTGAGGACTTCTGTCCCCTGCACACAATTCTACTATCTCCCACACCACAGTCAGTTTCCCAGTCTAGTCCCCTCAGTGGATCAAGAGCTTGGGCACATGCTGGATACTAGCCACAGTCATGTCCCAGGCACCGAGCAGAGTGCTTTCTGTAGAGTGGGCATCCAGAAAGGTAGATGGATTGAGCTGGTAGAAGCAAAACCACTGGGCACCTCTGTGCCCTCTCCCAGTGGCTCTTTGGTGACCACGTCATCTTCCTGAATTGTTGACACACCAAGAGGGCCTGGCTGGGCCTTGGTCACTGTCTTTGTATTTTCAGAAGAATCCACCAGGATCCTGTTGACAAGAGGGCCCCAGAAGGAGAGGCAGGACATGGAGGAGAGGGTGATGGCTGCACCAATGGTATCAATTCAGGCTGATTCCTGTCCCACCCTCAGAGTATCCTGCAAGTCAAATTCTAGATCAAAGAATTATCTCCTCTCTCTGGAAAGGTTTCGATCCAAGATCAAAGGGTGTAAAGAGAGAGAAAAAAGCAGCCCGATGGCCAAGAGGACCCCAACATCCTTAGTTACCAATGAGGTGGCATGTACAGCAACAGGACTCCAAGAAGATCACATGAGGGCATGTTATCTCTGGGGTACATGGGGTGTTGGGTCAGAACAGATGGGTTCCCACTTGTCGACATGTAGGGCATTTGGGGGCTTCCTAGGTGGCACTAGTGGTAAAAGAAAAAAATCCCACTTGCTAACACAGGAGACCTAAGATACACAGGTTAGATGCCAGGGATGGGAAGATCCCCAGAGGAGGAAATGGCAACCAACTCCAGTATTCTTCCCTGGAGAATCCCATGGCAGAGCCTGGAGGGCTACAGTCCACAGGGTCACAAGGAGTTGGACACAACTGAGGCAACTTAGCATGCACAGACAGGGAATTTTAATTGGGTTACAAGGAGCTGATACAGAGGAGGCCTAGAGTAGCAGTTGGTATCACCTGCTGGTAGGCCACCCCCTGTGCACTTAAGTCGCTTCAGTCATATCTGACTCTGTGACCCACAGGCTGTAGCCTGCCAGGCTCCTCTGCCCATGGGATTCTCCAGGCAAGGATACTCCCAGGCAAGGAGTGCGTTGCCATGCCCTCCTCCAGGGGGTTTTCCCAATGCAGGGATCGAACCAGCGTCTCTTATGTCTCCTGCAATGGCAGATGAGTTCTTTACCACTAGGGCCACTTGAGAAGCTCAGGCCTCCTTCTACCCCTGCTGAATTCCTGAAGGGAGCAGGATGAGGGCTGAGCATCAAGAATTTACTCTGGCTCATTATCAGTACTTTGAACCATGTCCTGCATCTGCCAGGCCTGAATAACCATGGATTACATGAAAACCAAAACCTCATAGGTTATTAAAACTTAATAGAAACACAAGACATGCAAGCTGTGTTTGTGCACTTCCTTCTCCCTTTATCCTCTCACTTTCACTCCTTTGCAGAAAGTGATACTCACCTCTTGGTAACTCTTTCCCTCTCTCTGGCCTGAGAGTTCCCAGGGCTGTTCCATACTGGCCCAAGTGAGTAGAAGTCTCATTAGGAAAATGCAGCAAGTCTGAACTATATCTCCTACGCTTTTTTATTTCCTTGGGAGCTTCTCATAGAGCATGAAATTTCTACCATCAATTTGTCATCTTTGGGCTCAGATTTCTTCCAGGAAGCCCCTGTGAAAATGCACATTCCAATGAGAATTGTATTGTCTGAACACATTTATCTGTCCATTGCTTCAGTCCAAGTGAGTTAATTCAGGTGATGGTATTGTGCTGGATTGTGGACTAGAAGCCCTTGGGAGGGGCCTCCGGGTGGAGGAAGTGAGACACACAACCAAGCTCAGTATGGGGCATACCTCTGGAATCCTTGGGGAAATGGAGTCCTAGAGAGAGGCAGCAAAGGAGAGAAATGGATGGAAGCTCGAGCACCAACAAAGGACAGACCCAGGAAGCTGGAAGATGATCCTCAGGGAAAGTCAGAAAGTCCGAGGAATTTTGATACATCTCTGCCCCTTTTGGTGCCTTTTCTGGATCCCTTTTGCGGTTCCCTGAAGGCCCAACTATAAACAATCCGCCTAAAAGAAAAAAAAAAAAAAAACAATCCGCCTGCAATGCAGGAGAGCCAGGTTTGATCCCTGGGTCAGGATGATTCCCTGGAGGAGGGAATGTCTACCCACTCCAGTATTCCTGCCTGGAGAATACCATGGATAGAGGTTGACGGTCCATGGTGTTGCAAAGAGTGGGACATGTTTCAGTGACTAAGCACACACAAACACTGGGTAGCATTAAGGAGGGTCACGCTATAATCCCCCACATACACATAGAGAAACAGGTTTAGTGACTACAAGTGGCTTCCCAACAACTATTGATCAAAATACATTATAAATAGCATGAAGAAAGATGGCAAGTCTTCTGCTCTGAAATACCAGTATTCAAAGTTTGCTGTTTCATGATGAGGGTTACTGTGTGAAATAGTGAGACCCAAGGCTGAAGCAGCACATTGGTTAAAATTCTGGCTTCTATCTCCATGTTTACCCCTGGCCAGGGGCTCCCCCATGGGTCTGAAGAACCCAGGACTTCATCTTACCTCGCAGGAACAAGAACAGGTTGTGTCATGAGGACCCACCTGTCTAAATTCCCCACTGAAAGGAACACAAAATACATCCCCCATGAAGAGATTATGGTATCATCTGATAACTACTGACAACTTAATTCACTCAGCTAAACCCACACAGCCTTTCTTATTCTTCTTGGAAACAAAATCCTTGTGGAAACTATATACTTTCACCTTCTTCCAAAACATGCCAATATGATGGTTTTCTCACTAAGCCTTACATGCCATCACCTTCCCAATTGACCTCAGGGCCTGGTCCAGCTGGTTGGAATCTATCCCAGTGGCAACAGTCTAGTCATGTCCTGGGGAAAATGTGTAGCCAGAGCCATGTCCTAGCAAAGGCAAATGGCCTTGCTCTACAAGGGGAAATAACAGAAGGCATGATCTTTGTTCGCTTCGTTCCACAGCAGACACACTTGAGTTGAAAAGTCTCACAAATGAAGACTGTGAAGGAAGACGTGTGCCTGAAGAGCACCCCGCACCTCACGTCTCTCCTCTGGCCATTTGTGTACTGATGGCCTCGGTCAAAGCTCTATTCCAAGTGTTTCATGTACAGATATGACTAAGATCCAGATATTACTCAGGTGGAAGAAAGAGAGAAACAGACAATTATAGTACTGCCAAGGTAAACTAATTATACATGTTTTAGAAACACAGTGTCCTCATCAACTATTCACGGCTTATCTTTTCAGACCTTAGAAATCAATCAGAGATGGAAATCAAAGAACATGCATGGAATTAGGCATTAGGCTCAGATACCAGGAGAGGTGAGCACAGTGTCAGGGACTCAGTGATGCAAAAGACCTCGTCAGTCTGCTATTCCTGTCCTTTTAGAGGTAACTCCTCTTCTGGGAAGCCTGTCTTGACTTCCATTGGCTGAAAGAATTGCTCAGAGTATGGGGAGGCCATGTTGCTCTGGATTGATTTATGCGTTAGATTCCAATTTCACAGATCACAGGTGTGTAACCAGAGCTCTGCCCCAACACAGAAACAAGGTGAGGGCCCTTAGCAAGCCAGTCAGTAGGGGCTGGGGTGAGGTACGGGGATGTTCTTTCTGACCCACACACATCCCACCATGAAGAAACACACACATATGCCCTTAAGCAGATGCACTTCTATGGACTTCATAGCAAAAGGATGAGAAGGACCTCATGGCTGCTCACTTTCTACCTCATTCCTGAGTTTCTCTTTCTTGACAAATGAATCACTAACATATCTACTGCACAGTACACCTTAGAAAGTTCTTTCAGGAAAAGGAAAGATAAGTCGCTCTGTTGTGTCTGACTGTTTGAGACCCCATGGACTGTAGCCTGTCAAGCTCCTCCATTCATGGGATTTTCCAGGCAAGAACACTGGAGTGGGTTGCCATGTCCATCTCCAGGGGTTCTTCCCAACACAGGGACCAAACCCAGGTCGCCTGCACTGCAGGCACACTCTTTATGGTGTGAGCCACCAGAGAAGCCAAGGAAGCCCTTTCACGTCTCTCTTAACTGATTTCTCTATGAACTCTGTGAGATAAGCAGTGCTGGCATTTGTGATTCCCACTTTACAGATGTAAAGACTTCCCTGGTAANTGGACTGTAGCCCGCCAGGCTCCTCTGTCCATGGGATTCTCCAGGCAAGAATACTGGAGTGGGTTGCCATTTCCTTCTCCAGGGGATCTTCCCAACCCGGGGATCGAACCCAGATCTCCCACATTGCAGGCAGACGCCGGCAGATGTTTTAACCTCTGAGCCACCAGGGAAGCCCGTCAGCAGATTAAGGATGCTGCAAATAGTTCTGACATGTCACAGTCAGAATCACTTGGGTTTACAAGAAAGTGGGAAGTAAAAGATGAATGAAGCCAAGGAGTGAAAGAGGAATCAGAGGAGGGGGGCAAGTTTCAGAAGACTATGAGGAAGGGAATTAATGACACAGGAGGTGTAAAATGAGGGAATGGATGAGCATCACAGATTAGCTGCAAAAGAGGAGCAAAGTGTTGGCCATCTCTCCTAATCAGGGTCTTAACCTCCCTGAGGAGGGTCAAGTTTTACTTGACCCTAGACTGGCCTTGCCTAGCCTCTACTCTAACAACAGACAGAGCCTGGTAAAACATGAGTCACGCATCATTCCTCTGTTACTCAAATCTCTCCAATACTTCCATCATCCACAGAATTAAACCCAAACGCTGTGGGGAGCAATTCAAGATCCATGTTGGACGTTTAGGTCACTTTCATACCTTGGTTATTGTAAACAGTGCTGCAATGAGCATAGGGATACACACACACACACACACACACACACACACACACACACACAAACACATATATATTCAAAGTAGCCCTTTCTTGAGATAAATGGCCAGAGGTGGAGCTTCTGGATTTTATGGTAGCACTCTTTCGGCTTTTTGAGGAATCTCCATGCTGTCTTCTACTGGAGCCGCACCAAGTTACATTCCCAACAACAGCGCAGGAGAGTTGCCTCTTCTCCACATCATCGCTCACATTTGTTTCTTGTCTTCTTGATAATTTGTCATTTGGATGGTTGTGAGGTGGAATCTCATTAAGGGTTTGACTTGCATTTCCTGATGATGAGTGATGCTGAGCACATTTTCATGTGCCTGTTGCCATCTGTATGTTGTCTTTAAAATGTCTAGTTAGGTTTTCAGCCCACTTTTTAAACACATGTCTGGTTTTTAAATATTGACCTGGGGTATTATACTAAGTGAAATAAGTCAAACAGAAAAAAATATTATGGTATAATTTCATTTATTTGTTGTTGTTCAGTCACTCAGTCATGTTGGATGCTTTGCAGACCTATAGACTGCAGCACGCCTTGCTTCCCTGTCCTTCACCATCTCCCAGAGCTTGTCAAACTCATGTCCATTGATTCAGTGATGCCATCCAACCATCTCGTCCTCTGTCGTCCCCTTCTCCTCCTGTCTTCAGTCTTTCCCAGCACCAGGTTTTTTTCTAATGAGTCAGCCAACTTATTGAATCAGATGGCCAAAGTATTAGAGCTTCAGCTTCAGCATCAGTCCTTCTAATGAATATTCACAAACCAAATAGGTAAAGAGAATTAAGAGGTACAAACTTCCAGATAGAAAATACATAAATCATTGGGATGTAATGTTCACATAGGGAATATAGTCAATAATACAGTCACAAATTAATATGGTGACAGACGCTTGCTGGTCTTACTGAGGTGATGAAATTGTAATGTATTACAATATGAAATCACTATGTTGTATACCTGAAACTAATATAACATTTATTGAAGTTTGTACCTGTTAGTTCCTTTCACCTATTTTCTTTGTCCCTCAATCCTCCTCCCCTGTGGCAACCATCTGTTCATTTTCTGTAAGCCTGAAACTTATATAACATTGTATATTAATAGATAGGGAAACAATGTCAACAGTGATAGACTTTATTTTCTTGGGCTCCAAATCACTACAGATGATGACTGCAGACATGAAATTAAAAGATGATTGCTCCTTGGAAGAAGAGCTATGACAATCCTAGACAGTGTATTAAAAAGCAGAGACATTGGAGGACAGTCGTAAGATGGTGGAGGAATAGGAAGGGGAGACCACTTTCTCCCCCACAAGGAAAATTAAAAAATTTATAGAAACAAATGACAATGAAAACACAGCAACTCAAAACCTATGGGATGCAACAAAAGCAGTTCTAAGCGGGAAGTTTATAACAATACAATCCTACCTCAAGAAACAAGAAAAACATCAAATAGACAACCTAACTTTACACCTAAAGCAACTGGAAAAAGAAGAAGAAAGAAAAGACCAAAATTAGTAGAAGGAAAGAAATCATAAATATCCAAGAAGAAACAAATGAAAAAGAAGTGAAAGAAACAATAGTAAATATTAATAAA